TAATATCACTTCCCAGATATTCCTTTTTTAGTTTATTTTGTCTGTGGAATCTTATATAAATATCATATTTAAAACACACAAGTTTGAATGGAACATAGGAGTTATTAGAAAGGACTTTAACCTATTTAATTTTAGTTGTTTAGTTAGATCGAGGTCTTTTGAGCTGTATTTTTATTTATGTTTATCAATTTTTATATATATTAATGTTAATGGAATATTAATGCATTAATTTTATTGCTTATTTAATGTTAATGTAAAATTAATGCACTAAATTCAGATATATTTAATGTTAATGCAAAATTAATGCATTAATTTGAAAAATATTTAATGTTAATGTAAAATTAATGCATTAAATTCAAAAATATTTAATGTTAATGGAAATTTAATGCATTAAATTTTAAAAATTTAATGTTAATGCAATATTTTTTACATTAAATTAATTTTTTTTTAATTTAATGTTAATGCAAAATTAATGGAAATCGCCCAGGTCTGTTATTAATGCAGTCTTCCGCAATGGTTTTGTTCATAAAACTTGCATTATACTTTATGGGTTTCATTTAAGGTGAGTTTTCTGAAGAAAAACCATTTATGAAATTTGTAAGAATAGAAATGAAGAACAAGTTTTCATTAGAAAACTTCATTTAACGGAAATTGTCTATTCTACCATTAATTTTTCTATAAAAAAACTTTCTCCTAATAAGATTGCAATAAAATATTTCTCTCTTCAACAAGATTTGTATGGAAAACTATCTCTATAATAAGTTTTTATAAAAATTTTTCTTTATAAAATTGTGTATAGCAAAATTGCTCTACAGTAAGTTTTCTAAAGAAAACTTGTTCTACATTAAGTTTTCTATAAAAAATATCTCTTTAATAATAATCCTTCAAAATGCGTTTTCTATAGAAACTTCACTTAAAATCTGTTTTCAATACAAAATCTGTTTTACTTTCTCTAAAATAAGTTATCTATAGAAAACTTAATCTACAACAAGTATCATTCATTAAACTTCAGTTTAGATAGGATACTAACGAACGAACGAACGAACGAACGAACGAACAGAACGAACGAACGAACGAACGAACGAACGAACGAACGACGAACGAACGAACGAACGAAACGAACGAACGACAACTACGAACGACGAACGAACAACGAACGAAAGAACGAACGAACGAAGAACGAACGAACGAACGAACGAAGAGAACGAACGAACGAACGAACGAACGAAACGAACGAACGAACGAACGAACGAACGAACGAACGAACGAACGAACGAACGAACGAACGAACGAAGAACGAAACGAACGAAGAACGAACGAACGAACGAACGAACGAACGAACGAACGAACGAACGAACGAACGAACGAAACGAACGAACGAACAACGAACGAACGAACAACGAACGAACGAAGAACGAACGAACGAACGAACGAACGAAGAACGAAGAACGAACGAACGAACGAACGAACGAACGAACGAACGAAAACGAACGAGAACGAACGAACGAAACGAACGAACGAACGAACGAACGAACGAACGAACGAACGAACGAACAACTAACGAACGAACGAACGAACGAACGAACGAACGAACGAACGAACGAACGAACGAACGAAACGAACGAACGAAACGAACGAAGAACGAACGAACGAACGAACTAACGAACGAACGAACGAACGAACGAACGAAACGAACGAACGAACGAACGAACGAACGAACGAACGAACGAACGAACGAACGAACGAACGAACGAAAGAACTAACGAACGAACGAACGAACGAACGAACGAAACGAACGACGAACGAACGAAGAACGAACGAACGAACGAACGAACGAACGAACGAACGAACGAACGAAACGAACGAACGAACGAACGAACGAACGAACGAACGAACGAACGAACGAACGAACAAAGAACGAACGAACGAACGAACGAACGACGAAGAACGAAACGAACGAAAAAAAAAAAAAAAAACGAACGAAAAAACGAAGAAAGAACGAACGAACGAACGAACAACGAACGAAGAAGAAACGAACGAAACGAACGAACGAACGAACGAACGAACGAACGAACGAACGAACGAACGAACGAAAGAACGAACGAACGAACGAACGAACGAACGAACGAAGAACGAACGAACGAACGAAAGAACGAACGAACGAAGAACGAACGAACGAACGAACGAAAGAACGAACGAACGAACGAAAGAACGAACGAACGAACGAACGAACGAAAGAACGAACGAAAACGAACGAACGAACGAACGAACGAACGAACGAACGAACGAAACGAACGAACGAACGAACGAACGAACGAACGAACGAAAGAACGAACGAACGAACGAACGAACGAACGAACGAACGAACGAACGAACGAACGAACGAAGAACGAACGAACGAACGAACGAACGAACGAACGAAACGAACGAACGAACGAACGAACGAACGAACGAACGAACGAACGAACGAACGAACTACAACGAACGAACGAACGAACGAACAAACGAACGAACGAACGAACGAACGAACGAAGAACGAACGAACGAACGAACGAACGAGCGAACGAAAGAACGAGCAACGAACGAAAGAACGAACGAAAGAACGAACGAACGAACGAACGAACTAAAGAACGAACGAACGAACGAACGAACGAAACGAACGAACGAACGAACGAACGAACGAACGAACGAACGAACGAACGAAACGAACGAACGAACGAACGAACGAACGAACGAACGAACGAACGAACGAACGAACGAACGAACGAACGAAGAACGAACGAGCGAACGAAAGAACTAGCGAACGAACGAAAGAACGAACGAAACGAACGAACGAACGAACGAACGAACGAACGAAGAACGAACGAACGAACGAACGAACGAACGACGAACGAACGAACGAACAACGAACGAACGAACTAACGAACGAACGAACGAAAACGAACGAAACGAACAAAGAACGAACGAACGAACAACTAACTAACTAACGAACGAACTAACGAAACGAACTAACTAACTAACGAACGAACTAACTAACGAAAAACGAACTAACTAAACTAACTAACTAACTAACTAACTAACTAACTAACTAACTAACTAACTAACTAACTAACTAACTAACTAACTAACTAACTAACTAACTAACTAACTAAGTAACTAACTACAACTAGTTTTCTATAGAAAATGTTCCCTTAAATAAGTCTCCTATAGAAAACGCCCTTCAAATTTCTATAGAAGACTTTTCCTACAACAAGTTTTCTATAGAAAATGTTCCCTTAAATAAGTCTCCTATAGAAAAGATCCTTCAAAATAAGTCTTCTATAGAAAACTTCACTTTTCAAAGCGTTTCTATAAGTTTCCTATAGAAATTACTTCCATAATTTTCTATTCTATTTGATTTACTTATATCAAACATTTCAGGTTAAGGAAGATTTCTTCTAATTATAAATGTTGTAAGGAAGAGATGTCTTAACTAATATTCGAATTTCGGATTAACGCAGCAATTTCTTTCTACATATATCATCTATTCATTCATCAATCCATCCATTCATCATCAGTACTAATGGAGCTTCAATCATTTTCTTACTGGACTGTATCATTCATTAAACTTCATTTTATTTATATTGTAATTATATGCACATACTTCGTACATATTTTTTATATATTTAACTAATAGAAAAAAATGTGTAAATTATATAAATTTATTCCAAATTCCTGTTTTATTCAAAGCATGTACAATGTACATTGTACATATGTATTTTTAATTAAAATAAAATATTCAATTTTCTTTAATTAAAATCTTTATTTACAACATTTTATAAATTCTCATATTTACTATTTTTCTATTAACATATTAAATAAAGAAATATACACTGTTTTTTATTTTTGCAATAATAAAGAAATAATACTATGTAATAAATTAATTAATTCATTAAACTAAAAAAAACATGTTTCATAAACAAAAGCATTTTTATTTTCATTTGTTTTGTTTATGTTTATTTATACGCAGAAATATACGTACAAATAAACAAACAAAATTACATGCCTACTTACAAACATACACATGCATAATTTCCTATTAAATGTTTTACATACATAGACTCACATGCATCCCTTAAACTACTACGTCATCAAAAATTTTGTTTGCAATTTTGCCCAACCTTCGATTTTGTTCAAAATTGAAATCTTAATACCAGGCTCATAGAATTTTCAGCAAGCTGCATGTGAAATTTTTTTATAAATCATAAATACTTGACTCACCCTGTGCAAATTTAAGTTTTTCAGCATTGCAATGCATACTTTGGGGATGTAATTAAAATCAACTTTAATTTTAAGCCTAAAAGTATGTGTTACTTTACCCGCATATTTAATATGTGGTTTATTTACATGTGTTTTCATTGAACAAATTTCAAATAGTAGTACCATCTGAGAATTCTGGTCACCTGGTATTAAGATTTCAATTTTTCGTTAAAATCGAGGTTGGACAAATTTGCAGACAAAATTTTTGATGACGTATGACGTGTGGTGGATGGTTGTGTATGTTTTTAATAAAAATTGGGCTTATGTATAAGAATTTGTTGTAATGTTAATAAGGTGTTGATGATATTGTGTGTGTGTATCTTTGCTATTTGAACAGCTAAGGAAAACAAAAACTCGTTAATGAAAAAGTTCGTTTATTATTTCAACTAATATAACATATGTAAAGAAATCTTAAATATGCAATATGAAAAATAATTGATTACTATTTATTGTAAATCTAATTATTACTATTTTAAATAACTAACAACATTAATATTAAATACAAACTATGTAAAATATGGGATAATTTAATAACACATACATACATTCCGGTTGAACTATTTTAAAAATTATTTTTGTTTATCGTAATGAGCTTATTTATGATTTATTAAATAATATTCATACAAATTTTATAATTTAATTTAATTTAATGAATATAATTATTTATTTATACATTTAGAAAAATGATGGTATTTAATAAAGCTCCATTGAAAAGGGTATAATCATAATCTGCATATAACTACACTGGGTGTTTTTCTGGGGAATTTTCTAAGGGAAATTGCTATGATTTTCTGGATGTTCTGGTTTTTCTGTAAATTTTTTACATGTGTGTGTTATACAAACTAAAAAAAGAAAAGATAAAAGAAAATAAATTACAAAATGAAAAGTTCAAATTAAATAAAGATAAAACAAAAACTTAATTAATGAAAACATATGCTGCAAAAGGAAAGGATTTTTTTTAAGAATAAATTAATATAAGGAACCGATGTATCTTTTACTATTTTGTAGTATATATTTATGCACATAAAAGTATTTTCACATCGGTTCAGATTTCATTTTACATGGGGTTTTCATTTTGGTGTGACATAACGTCCATGGATATTATGTCACATAGTGTCCATGGACGTTATGACACTTTTAATACATAAATGTATTGAAAAATTTATTTAGGATTTGCTCGTAACTTTGGTGCATGTTGTATTTTAAACCTTTTCATAATGACCATGGACGTTATGTCACACCAAAAAGAGTCTTAGTGCCCTTGGACGTTATAACACTTACAAAAGTGTTATAATGTTCATTGATTTTGTGACACTTTTAAAACATAAAAATGTATGTAAAATTTGTTTAGGATTTAAGAAAAAGGCACTCTTATTCCGGATGGAATTGCTCGTAACTTTGGTGCATGTTGTATTTTGGATTCATTTAAGAAAGTGTCTTGGATAGCCGTCCTTCGGAGGGATTTTAAACTCCGTTGTATTTCGAATACCGGCATTGCTGTATTAAGCCTTTTCATGACAAATGGACTTTTTGTAATCCATGGACTTAATGCCACGCTTCTCATGGGCATTATAACACTTATGAAAATGTCATAATGTCCATGTTTGGTGTGTCATTACGTTCATGTACATTATGACACACCACCGAATTTTACGTTAATTTCCCTATATTTAAGCAGTTAATTGATGAAGAACTAATTTTCTAAAAGAGGCTTTATATGGGAGTTAGATTCAAATATGGACCGATCTTCATAAAATTTGGAAAAGGAATGTATTTTTATATAAAAGTTAGTTATGCTGAATTTCATCGCTATACTAATGGTTATAACTTATATGTCAATTTTTGACGTGTAAGACATTTTTATTCAAAGGGCGATTTGTATGGGTGCAAGGGTTAAATAAAGGCCGATCATTACAAAAATCTTCGGAAACTTTATGGTATGTAGAACCTAGTCAGTAGCTTACTTTCCAAGGGGGATTGTATGGGGTGCTAAGGTTAAATAAAGGTCGATCTTGCTTGCTTAAACTTAGTAAGTTAGTTAGTAGTTAGTTAGTTAGTAGTTAGTTAGTAGTTAGTTAGTTAGTTAGTTAGTTAGTTAGTTAGTTAGTAGTTAGTTAGTATGTTAGTTAGTTAGTTAGTTAGTTAGTTAGTAGTTAGTTAGTAGTTAGTTAGTTAGTTAGTTAGTTGTAGTTAGTTAGTTAGTTAGTTAGTTAGTTAGTTTCGTTAGTTAGTTAGGTAGTTAGTTAGTAGTTAGGTTAGTTAGTTAGTTAGTAGTTAGTTAGTTAGTTAGTTAGTTAGTTAGTTAGTTAGTTAGTTAGTTAGTTAGTTAGTTAGTTAGTTAGTTAGTTAGTAGTTAGTTAGTTAGTTAGTTAGTTAGTTAGTTAGTTAGTTAGTTAGTTAGTTAGTAGTTAGTTAGTTAGTTAGTTAGTTAGTTAGTTAGTTAGTTAGTTAGTTAGTTAGTTAGTTAGTTAGTTAGTTAGTTAGTTAGTAGTTAGTTAGTAGTTAGTTAGTTAGTTAGTTAGTTAGTTAGTTAGTTAGTTAGTTAGTTAGTTAGTAGTTAGTTAGTTAGTTAGTTAGTTAGTTAGTTAGTTAGTTAGTAGTTAGTAGTTAGTTAGTTAGTAGTTAGTTAGTTAGTTAGTTAGTTAGTTAGTTAGTTAGTTAGTTAGTTAGTTAGTTAGTTAGTTAGTTAGTTAGTTAGTTAGTTAGTAGTTAGTTAGTTAGTTAGTTAGTTAGTTAGTTAGTTAGTTAGTTAGTTAGTAGTAGTTAGTTAGTTAGTTAGTTAGTTAGTTAGTTAGTTAGTTAGTTAGTAGTTAGTTAGTTAGTTAGTTAGTTAGTTAGTTAGTTAGTTAGTTAGTTAGTTAGTTAGTTAGTTAGTTAGTTAGTTAGTTAGTTAGTTAGTTAGTTAGTAGTTAGTTAGTTAGTTAGTTAGTTAGTTAGTTAGTTAGTTAGTAGTAGTTAGTTAGTTAGTTAGTTAGTTAGTTAGTTAGTTAGTTAGTTAGTTAGTTAGTTAGTTAGTTAGTTAGTTAGTTAGTTAGTTAGTTAGTTAGTTAGTTAGTTAGTTAGTTAGTTAGTTAGAGAGGTAGTAGTGTATTTAACGTAATTATGTGCTAAAAAGGTCAAATCGAAAGGTCCGGTTTTATGGTGGCTAGGCCAATAGTCATCTTTAGTTATGTTTTCATTCATGAAGGTAATCAAATTTGTTTCTTTAATAGTGTAGGAAATTCTGGGAAGTTAAACCACGATGGTGGAAAGCACCCTTCAAAATTTCGCCTTTTTGAAAATAGTTTTAAAAAAGCTATTGAAAATTTTTCAAAACCGATTCTTTCGTTTACCTACCCACCATACAAGTAGCACTTAGCGGATCGGACAAATATCAACACAAAAAAAAAATACATCTGCAATATCGAAAAAATAGAATGGGAATAACTATGTCAAATTCGAAACGTGAAAGGGGCAACGTATTCGAGAAATAGCATATGTTTTCAAACTAAAATATTCTTTTACACAAGAATGGCTTTCAGAAAAATATAAAATTATTATAAGTAATTTTTAGTTTTAGTTTTACTTGGAAACTAGAAGTTTTGAAATTTATTTGTAATAGCACAAATTAAATTTAACAAAAAACTTAATTTGGCAAAAAGCACACTCGCGTGTTTTAATTATTTGTTCAACCTAACCACAGACATTAAATATTTAATTATTAAACCAAATATTTTGAAACAAAAAAAACCCAAACTAAAGATCGCACGCTTATTTCTAAAATACTACTAAATACTATAGAATCTTTTTAATGACTTTTACACATAAATAAACCATTAAAAATAATACATTTGTAGTGAATTCAAACGAGTATTTTATAAACAATGTTCAGCGTAAATTAAAATTAAATTCCATTTAATTTAATGTTAAAATCAAATATTTTCAGTGATGCAAATATTGAAAAACCCAAAACCTAGTACAAGCAACAGTTTAAAAGATTTTCAGCAAAAAAGTGCAAAGTCACAAAAATGAAGTAGACATTTGTGAGACTCTAAAAATAATGTTTAATTCGAAACATTTGATTGATTCATTCATTTCTACATGTGTTTTTTTAGCAGTAAAAATATTATCAATTCAATTGATTCTTGTAAATGACGTCATGAAAAAAAGGGAAACGAAGAATTCCTTATCTTTATGTACAGATTAGTATTTTACTTTATATTATAAAAAAAACTGGTATTCAATTCTTAAAGAATTGTTTGCTTTTTAAATTTAAACGTCCACTAACTACTAAAACAAACATGATTCATTTGGTGTAAGAACCAAACATTCATTTAAGTTCAATGTATTTTTTATGACGTGGGAATTCCATAAATCTATACTAGAATTTTATCGGTTTTATTTTTATTTATGTGATAGAAATTTAATATTAAAAAATGTATATTGACACAATTTTGTCAAATAATTTTTCAATTATTTAGCGCGATAACAATTGCTGACTTATTTATTTATTTTGGTATGATGCTAAATGATAACAGTCATAGGAACGAACAGTGGTATTGGAGGTGATGAAAAGTTGATTAACGAAAATTGATACTCTGTATTAAATATAAATATTGTAGAAAAATATCGATTGCAAAATAGAAAACTTCTCAGAAAATAGAATAGAATTTGCCAACAAGTTTTCTAATAGTTGAAAATTTACTAAAATTTTCTAAAAGTAAATGATTCTTATAAAAATTTAAAAATATAATATTTATCGAAAATTAAAAAAAAGAAAAATATTAAAAATGTAAAATTAATCGAAATAAAATTTTAATAGAAAATTAATCGTATTTAATTTTTCAAGAAAATTTTGTTTTCTTAAAAATAGAAAATTGTTGAGAAATAATTGTTTGGGTTTTGTTTTCTTTTGAACCCACAGTGTAATCACACTGTTTATATCTAAGAAAAAGAAAAAAAGATACAAAGTACTTAATAATAAATATTAAAATTTATGTACACAAGTGTTGTATTAATTTGAAAAATGAATATTTATTGCTTCTTGCGATTTTTTGAAAATTTTTCCCCATTTCATAGTATTAAGTTAAAAGTGAAGAGTGTGAGTGTTTTTTTCCTCAGCGGATAAAAAGTACAAAACAATAGATATTTGTAGCGAAAAAAAAAAAAAATAAATAAAAAGATAAAAAGTGTTGTGTCTTTTTTACAATTGATATTTTGTGTTTGCATTATCTCAGTTTTTTTACCAATATGTTCTTGTATTTGTTGCTTTTTTTCTTTTTATAAAAATGCTTCAGTTCCTTTAAAACGTTCTAATCTTTGTATGCACAATTTTGTTTTTTTTTAATTTTTTTTATTTTACTTCGATTTGTTGTCTTGTTAAGAAAATTTCTACTGCAAAAACAAAAATTAAGTGGAAATAACAAATAAAAAAATAATGTTTTTAACAAATGAAAATTTTGCTTAAATAGCATTTAAATAAACATTAAGATATCAATTGTGGTTTGAAATTCAAACAGTCAACAGTGAAGTTTATAAAGTGAATAAATATAAGAAGATTTTTTTAAATAAAAATATATTAAAAGTAATTAAACGTTATTTTTCTAATTCAAACAATTTAAATGTATTTATAATTACCACCTTAACAACAAAAAAAAATTGTGATAAAATTTTTAAATACTTATCATTGAAAATGACTTTTAAACATCATAAAAACAAAACGTGATTTATTGCTGCCTTTGGAAAAGTTAAATACTAAATTTAAATAATTATTTTGTTTAACTTCGTAATTTATAATATTTATAACTGAACTAGAAGTGAACTAGAACTAAACTAGAAATGAATTAGAACAGAACTAGAACTG